TGAGCCCCACGCCTGGGTAAACACCCCAGTGTGCTAGGAGCTGCGCAAACACAGGAATACCGCTGTCCCTCTGGGAAGTGGGAGCAGAATCCAGGGCTTTGTATGTCAGTTACCCGAAGGAGGAGAAATTAGCACCGTGGCCGCTGGGTATATTCTCAGTGCAACTTGTTTCTTTGCTGTATGTGCACCAGTCCTGGACACAGGGCCGGTGCAAGGAAGTTTCACGCCCTAGGCGAAACTTCCACCTTGCGCCCCGCCCCCAGCCCTGTGGCAGCTCCCACCCCCTTGAGGCGCCCCCCCGGCGGCTTCCCCCCCCCGCCCTGAGGTGCCCCCACACACGGCACCTCACCCCCCAGGGAGCCATGCGGCAGCTCCCTACCCCAGCTCCCTTCTGAGTCTGCTCCGCCTCCTCCCTGAGCATGCCGCCCCCGCTCTAATTCTCGTCCCCTCCCAGGCTTGCAGCGCCAAACAGCTGATTGGCCCTGCAAGCCTGGGAGGCGGGAGAAGTGGAGCGGCGACCGCGAGCTCGGGGAGGGGGCGTAGGAATGCTGTAAAAAAAATTGGGGGCACCGCTTTTTGGCGCCCCCAAATCTTGGCGCCCTAGACAACCGCTTACTTTGTCTAAATGGTAGCACCAGCCCTGCCTGGACAGACGTGGTTGTAAACAGCATCCAGGGAACTCCTTCTGTGGGGACTCTCAGCAGAAACCACCAAGGCCAGGTTCCCGGGGAGCAAATAACTCTCCATAGACTGAGGGGTTGAGGCAGCGAGCACCACCCCAGAGAGAACTAAAGTGCAAAAGCGAATGAAAAACAAATGTCTTCCAAAGCCTGAACAGTTGCTTGCATACTAAGGACAAATTGTAATAGCGCCACCTGGAGGCTTCTGGCAGAACAAAGATAAGGAGCGCCTCATGTGCCATGGAGACTGAATTCCCCCTGGGGTCTTTGCTGAGCCATTCTGTACTCCATACTCCTCCCCCCTCCCCCCGCTAATGCTCACCTCCCCTCTAGGGGGCAGAGGAGAGCTCAGTCCCTATGGCCCGTTCAGCGAGTGAGGGGCAGGTTAACGCCATCTGGGGTGTGGATTTTGTACTTCATACATGTTTGTTAGGAACAGGTCTGGGATGCTCACAGCTCACTCCACCCAGCTGCTTACAAGGGAAAAGCCCCTCCCCCCTCCCCAGATCTAACCATTAGATCCCACAATTCTCTCCAAGCCAAGAATAGAACCCAGGAGTCCTGACTTCCAGTCCGCCCTGCTCTAACCCATTGGACCCGCACTCTCATCCCAAAGCCAGAGATAGAACCTAAAGTCCTGACTACCCGTCCCCCTGCTCTAACCATGAGACCCCACTCCCCTCCCAGAGCCAGGGAGAGAACCCAGGAGTCCTGGCCCCCAGCCCCTGCCCCTGCCCTAACCTGTAGACTCCGCTCCCCTCCCAAAGCTGGATAAAGAACCCAGGAGGCCTGCTTTCACCACTAGCAAGATCCAGACAGCAGATAATCGCTGGCCCCTTCCACCTTCTCTAGAGATCCTGTTCTTAGAATTGTTGTGTCACATCAGATCTTCCGAGACATCTCTGGCCACAGCAGGGGAGAGAGAGAAGGCCCCAGCTAGAGGAACTGTGTATGGCAGCGGGGGAGCCAGCTCCCTGGGACGCTGGGTGAGCCCATCATGTCCAGGCTGGGGGGCTGTACCCTGCTCAGCAGCGACTCTGGGAAGGACCCAGGTGTCCTGGTGGAGCCAGATGGCCCATGAGCTCTGTAGGCAATGCTCTGGCTAAGAGGGTGAGCGTGACCCTGTGCTGGAGACGTAGGGGAATAGCGAGTAGGAGCTGGGATCCCAGCTCGACGTGACATTGGGGAGATTGCGCGCAGCTCTGGGGAGCCGCATGTCAAACAGGGTGTCCGGAAATGAGGGAGGTGTCAAAGAAGAGTAATGGGGACGATCTGAGGGCTGGAAAACCTGCCCGAGAGCCAAGCACTGAAGGAGCTCGATCTAGTGAGTTTAACCCAGAGAAGGCTGAGAGGGGACAAGATCCTGGTCTGTCAGCACCTCCCTGCTGGTGAGGGGAAGGTTTCGGGGAGCAGAGGGCTCGTTAACCCAACAGATGGGCAGAGTGAGAGCTGACGGCTGTGGCATGGAGCCAGAGAAATCGAGACTGGGAATAAGGGGCAGATTTTCCCCAGGGAGGGGAACTGACCCTGGGAATCACTGCCCCAGGGACAGGGCAGAGTCTCCAGCCCTTGGAGTCTTTCTATGGAGATCGGACGTCCCTAAAAGCACTGCTCTAGCTCGACCATCAGCTCTGGGCTGGAAGCCGGGATCCCTGAGGGGAGGTCTCCAGGCTGGGCAGACTGCCTGGGCACCACGGTCCCTTCTGGCGTTAAGATGCGCAGAGCAATGAACGTAGCAGTAAGCAGCTGGGCTGGGAGCGTCTCAGTTCTCCTCGGCGAGGCAGGAAGCTGCGATGCTGAATAAAGCTAAACACCGCACGGTCGTTCTTACAATTTACCACATGTGTTACGGTCACGTCTAGTGGCCCAACTGAGAACAGGGCCCCTTCGTGCCAGGCACTGCCCAGACACACAGCAAGAGACAGGCCCTGCCCCAGCTGAGATCAGGGCCCCTTCGTGCCAAGTGCTGCCCAGACACACAGCAAGAGACAGGCCCTGCCCCAGCTGAGATCAGGGCCCCTTCGTGCCAAGTGCTGCCCAGACACACAGCAAAAGACAGTCCTTGCCACAAAAACGTTTGAAGGATAAAGGAACAAAAGTAAGATTTGTATCCACCTTGTACAGGTGGGGAAACTGAGGCATGGAGCGGAGTGGTTGCTCGTGGTCACATGGGGCCCTGTGGCAGTGTTGTGTAGCCCATAGAACTAGCTTTAGCATTTATTTGATGGGGCAGTAATGCAAGCAACCCACAGGCCTGTCTCCTGTGAGACGCTGGCGTCAGCAGTTAGCATAAGGCTTGGGGCCTATGAACTTTGGCACAGATAAATGGCCCAACCGTGACCCCTAAGTTTTGGGGACGTGGGAACAGGGCGTTTAAGGGGGAGCTTTGTCCACAACGACACCAGGAGCATGAGCTAACACCATCTTGCGGATAGTTTAGCATGGGACCATCGGCTGTCTGACCACCAGAGAGCCATGACCTATGGGAGAAGGGCCCCCAGCACTGGTAGTGGGAGAAGATACACATAAGGAAGAGGGGAGACACCCCTACAGAACAGGCATTAGGCAGGGTGATGTCAGCATAACATCATGTACAAGTCACATCCCAGCCTGCGGGCAGGAGGAGAGCGCAATGTAGCCCTTGGGAGGTGCCGGTGTGACGACTGGGTTGACAACGACGAAGGTGATGGTGAGGAGGAAGATACTGGCTGACAGTCTGGGTTGTTCTGCACGGGACGGTTCGGAGGGACACGCTGCCGTCTCTCTATCTACCTCGCTGGGCTGGAGCCTTTGTGACTTTGCTAAATGTGCGAATAATTCCTCAAGTGCGAGTGTCACAGCTGTGCCCATCGGGGCTCCCAGCTGAACCGCACTTTCCATAATCTTGAGCCTGACCTGGGGACACAAACCTGTCAAACCTCACCGGGAATTCTGAAGTAATCAATAGAATGAATATGAGACTCCTACATCGGGCTCCAGCTGTGACTAGATCCAAGATCTCCTGCCTTAGCCCCGAGCCCAGCCTCACTATGGAACTCGTAGCATTTCTGGGACACCCTTTGTGCTGAAAACGTTTTCATAGGAACCTTTCCCGGGCCCAAATCCGGTTCCCTTTTCTTGTAGGCCCCACGTCAGTGTTCACCCTGGAGGAGATGGAGGCCCTGCTGCTGCTGGCCCTCTCCATCCTGACCGGTGAGTGGTTCTGGTTGCGCTGGGGCTGGGATGCAGTAACGGGGATGATCAGGGAGCCAGGAACTTGGGAGACTCTGCCATGGCGACGGCTCCACCTGCCAATGCTTGGAATCCAGCAGGGGGCATCTGGAACGTCTGGGGTTCAGTTGCAACCTCTAGGGGGCGCTGTGCTGCAGACAGCGAGGTGGGGGCTCTCCTCTGGCAGTCAGGGCTGGCCCCGATGTCCCAGGGCAGGACTAGGGAGCATGGTGTTGCAGATAGCAGGGTGCTGCTTCCCCTCCAGGTGCCGGCTGCCAGGACTGGGGGGTGACCCTGCCCGCGGACCCTCTAGCCGGATGGAGTGGCTCATGTGTGACGATCCCTTGCTCTTACACCTACCCCGAGGGGCAGCTCGTCAGAGCCGTGACCTGGAGCCGCAACAACGAGAGAATTGTGCAGCTCACCGCAGCAGCGGGGCAGGGCTATGACAAGGCCGAGCGCGCCCAGTTCCTGGGAGACCTGCACCACGACTGCACCCTGCGCCTCAACCCGCTGGCGCTTGGAGATGGGGGCAGGGCGGGCTTTAGGCCGATTCAGCTGATTCGGCTGAATTGGGCCCCACACCAAGAGGGCCCCGCGCTGCAGCTCTCCAGCCCGCCCCCAGCTCACTTCCCCTTCCTCCCCTCCTCTGAACGCTCTGCCCACTCCCCCCTCCGGGTCGGACCCAACCCCGGCAACCCCGGCCGGAGCGCGGCTCAATTCCTGGGGGCGGGGCTTTCAGCAAGCCCCGCCCCCAGGAATCGGGCCCCACTCTTGCTAAAGCCGGCCCTGGATGGGGGCGCCTACTCCTTTGAGTTCCAGTCCCAGAGCGAAAGCTGGAGAAGCCCCCGAGCCGTGCGCCTCACGGTGTCAGGTAATCCCCGGCTCCTCTTGCAGAAACGGTTCACCAACAACCCAGCCTGGCCCCGCGCGGCGTTATGTGTGGCTGCTCCCCAGCTCTCCCACCATAGGGGTGGCTGCACCTCAGTGCCCATCGAGCCATCCCCAAGGACGGTTGCTGTAAACCTCTCATAACAGTTCACTCAAATCAGATGACTACATTCTGCAGAGGTGTGAAGAAACTGTGGAGTCTGGTGGTTAGAGGAAGCCTAAACTGGAGTCAGGACTCCTGGGTCCTCTCCCAGCTCTGGGAGGGGAGTGGAATCTAGTGATCACAGCGGGGGAGGGGCTGGGAGTCAGGACTCCTGGGTTCTCTCCCAGCTCTGGGAGGGGAGTGGGATTTAGTGATCACAGCGGGGGGGGCTGGGAGTCAAGACTCCTGGGTTCTCTCCCAGCTCTGGGAGGGGAGCCTGGTATAGGTCACACCCCCACCTGGTCTTGAGGCCGCTCTCAAAGAAGGGGCAGTGGCTGGTGACTGGAGGTGGCTGTGCCCATGGCCGTGCCCCCAGCAGTGACTGGCTCTCCCCTCACCCACCCTACACAGAACATCCCTGTGTTGTACTTAAAATACTGCACAGGATCTTTTCAGGGGGAATAAGGCAGAACGCCACATTTATTAGTAATACATGTATTCATTAACACTGTATTATATGCATATAATATAGTGTTAATGAATACATGTAT